ATCTTCAGGGTAAGCTTGATAAAGAAAAAATGACATGAAATAGTATATATATATATATATATATATATATATATATATGTGTGTGTGTGTGTGTGTGTGTGTGTGTGTGTGTGTGTGTGTGCGTGCGTGCGTGTGTGTGTGTCGGTGTGTGCCTGTGATTTTCCTGTTAGTATCATAAAACAACTCCTGGCATACAAGTTATCTTGAATTGCATCATTTCGTTTTTCGTAGATGCATTTTTAGAGTCTGTTTCTCATAATTTGGGTGTTTAATACGCTGCATTTGCTCGTATATTATGTTTTCAACGACGTTTAGCGCGCATTTTATTTTTTCCTCAGATAATTTCGATCGTTCTAAAACAGTAATCCGAAGAGAAACTGAACGTCGATGCTTATTCTCTGTCATTTCGGGACACAACATCCAAGAAATAAGCAGGAGAGACTTTCACAGAAATAATGGCGCAGAAACGGGCGGTGATTGTTAATGTATTTCTCATCGAAATTTAAGTAGCGATTTCCTGGTCATTTTAACTTCGAAATACTGGAATTGACTTGGGGGGGGGATTCATAGAAAGTTAAACGTTACAAAGTTTGAACTCCTGATTTCATCCATTGGTGGGATAAACATTTTCGAAGTCATGTTATTCTAACTCCTGCGGGTTTTACTGTATGATACTATTCGGGTGCAGTTTGGAAAGGAATCAGTGATATCAACGCCCCAACATTTTTTTCTGGCTATTACTGAAGGTGCAATATATAAAGTTAAGTCATAATCCCAAGCAGAATTTCCGTCTTTGGGAACAAAATTTTAATGACGAATTAATTTCAACTACAAGGCTAAGGTTAATCCGTGGTATGGTTTTCAAGCACTTTCCAAAGGTGGCGCACACGATGAGATCGCCTCCCACGAGCACAGGCAGATAACATGAAGAAGACACTTTCCTGCAAAATCAACAATGGTGAGATTCGCAGACGGATCCCATGTTCGGAACTCTTACTTTCAGCAACTATGCCACGTGCTCATTCATATATTTCCACTCGCTTAAATAAATTACGGATCAAAGTTTACTCGTAAATTCACCAGTCCCGGCACATATAAAAAAAAAAGTGTTCAATACTTAAGCCGTGGAGCAAAATTAAGAACGTTTCTCTTAAAAGGATATGAATACCTCACTATTCTACTGTGTCTCCTCTCGGATTTTCAATCTTGTTTTGTTACAAGATAGTGAGGTAATTATATATATATATATATATATATATATATATATATATATATATATATATATAGTGGGCATTGGGCATTGTCAACACCCAGCAGCACGGTGTTGATTTCAATGTCCACGTTTATATTTACATACGCTCTATCTGTGATATTGAGCACTTTAACCCATAAATATAGCATAACTATATTTCATCACGCACACATATATAAAAGCGTATATATATATATACACGTTTTTATATGTGTATGTAAGGGGGTACAAATGAAAAGATGTGAAATTAACAACTTTTCATATTTCTCTGAAACAGACATGAAACACGTGAGATTATCATCATCTTTTCTATCTTCCCTTCTGTCTTTATGTCTTTCATTTTCTCGCTTAAACCAAGTAGCGTCTTTGATATATCTTTCCCTGGCGATCAAAACAAAATAGTTCATTATATATATATATATATATATATATATATATATATATATATATATATATATATATATATATGATACAAAGACAAGCTGAAAAGCAACTTGTCAGCAGTCAATATACCACATAACACCCTTGAGCGCTTAGCTTTAGAGCGGGTAGAATGGAGATCAACGTGTTTTAGTGGACTCAGTAATTTTCAATCTGCTTGTCTAAATCATCTTCAAGAAGCGAGAGTAAAATCTAAAAGGTAAGCCAATCTAACAGTGATTTCATTTCACAATCCTCACACTTGCTCCATATGTCGCCTACTTTGTAAATCGCTAGCGTGTCTTAAATGCCACTTAAGATTATCGCACAAACTTTCATAACTGAATCAATAAGCTGTCAGATCCTCATACGTCGAAACCGACGGGAGAGTCTATTATATATATATATATATATATATATATATATATATATATATATATATATATAGAGGGCGAGAGAAAGTCCTCCCAAAAATGAATACACACTTCAGGAAAGGAAAAACTTGTATATTTATTGTAATACTATATTTATTCACACATCAAAAGATTAATGCAAGATACCTTTGAACTCAACAATCACGAGAGATGCTCAAAATGGTAGCCTTTAGCTTCCAGACATTTATTAAAACGACAAACTACTGCTTGGGCAACGTTGGCCAAAGTGTGCAGTGGAATTACTGCACATGCATTTTCAACTTGTGCGTGTGTGTGTGTGTTTGTGTGTGTGTGTGTGTGTGTGTGTGTGTGTGTGTAAATCCCTATCTATAAAAAGCATGATGTGTGTGTGTGTGTGTGTGTGTAACGAATGCACGGCCGCAATTTTCGACGG